TAACAGCCGCACATTGCACATTTACACGAGAGTAAGTTTGCAAAATTCAGATAGAAACCGTTAAAACTAATTTCATATTATTTTAAAACAGTGGTCAACCAAGATGGGTTCGCTTAGGTGCATTAGACATGGAGAGAGATGAAGAAAGTGGGAGAGCACAGTACGATATAGATCGAATAATAGTACATCCAGAGTATAAGTTTCCTGTTAAATATAATGATATTGCTTTAATATCCACAACCACTCAGATACAGTTTTCAAAATATATAAGACCAGCTTGTTTATATACAAAATCGACGTTTCCCCAGAAATTTGCCCTTGCCACTGGCTGGGGACAAACTGGTAAGTTTGTTAATTAATTTAATCTTAAAATAGTAGTACAACTTAAACATAACAAAGTTTTCTATAAATAAGGAAATTTACTCCTTTCTAAACGGACCTGTTTTAACAGTTTTGCAATAATTGTATTCTTTTCGCAGATTATTCGGCTCCAAATAGTGATAAGTTATTAAAGGTGCAATTAAATATCTACGACAATAGCGTTTGCGCAAAGGCTTACCAAAAAGAAATCAACGCTAATCAACATATATCGAAAGGTATTGTTGGATCCATGTTATGTGCAGGAGAATTAGAAGGAGGACGAGATACATGTTTAGTAAGTTGATGACGAAAATAATCCATGGCTTGGCATCATAACGCGGTAGCACTCTAGGAAGATATTTGAGGACGTGCGTAATGGGGCACTGATCAATTCTGGTGATCTTCGAAAAAGTTTTTTCAAATCATTTTTCGAATGTCATGTCCAGTTTATTATCTACCGTATTTTTTCAGGTTGTTTCAGAGTTGTTGTGATAAGCGCTTTTAGAACATACGGAACAAAGTTCATACAAACATTGGCCCAAACTGCTGCGTTTTCAAAAAACACTCCGGTTGTTTTTTATAAAAAATACGACAAAGTATTGTGAGATCGTGCAATCCCTGCATCGAAGCAGGAGGTAGCCAATTTGATCATTGTTGTAAAGTCGATTTTTTAAACGTATCGCGTTACTGGAGTATAACTGTTTTTGTTTGATTTTAACTGCAATTAACAAGAAAATTATTTTTCCATGTTTTGCCGAATTTTCCTCTAGCCTCTTGTCATGACGACTCTGAAACGCACTGTATATGTACTAACTAGTTTTCTTAAGTCTTTAGTATTATTGGTTGTAACTATAATCTATAGAGAAAAGTCATCGAACTTATAAAATACGTTGTGATTGTGGAACATATAAAGTTCTTTCTATTGGGGTCGCAGTTATGTTAAAATAACCTTAATTCCCCTTTTCAGGGTGATTCCGGGGGGCCACTGTTCATTACCGAAGAGGAAAACATGTGCAAGTTTTACATCATAGGAATAACATCATTTGGAAAACTTTGCGCACAGGAAAATGTTCCTGCCCTGTACACTAGGGTCTCAGAATATGTTCAATGGATAGAAAATACTATATGGTAAAACAGTTTTAACTTATCTTGCTTAAACTGTAATAATTATTATACAAATAAAGAAAACATAAATCATGTGTTTGTTTGTTCCCTTTTTAGATTAACTATTCTCCAAAACATTTATTATTTATTAACAGCATTTATTAATCATGGTGTAAGTTTCTCCTTTTTGAATGTGTGCGTAACTTGCCTTCGAGTTTTTTAAACAAAACCATTTTTTTGTCTGATTTGCGGCAGTTGACTTTGATTAAAACATGTGCATCAGAAACGAATATTGGAGGACAGGAAAGTTTCCGAAGAGCAACTATGTTTTTGGAAAAACATTGTCACATTTTCCATTATATGCTTAGCCTAACAAGACGTAATTGCGATTCAGTAAGAGGAGATGAATAAGAACAACTATTTCATTGCCCAGAAAAATAATATTAGGAACTGTGTTTGTGGTGCGATTTTCTATTTTCTCTGTCATTCTCAGTTCTAATTTTATTTTAACAGAAATCTAGTTTAAAAACTCACCAACGTGGAAATGCGCCCATTTATTAGTGAAAACTTGCATTCGTTAGCCTGTCTAGAATACCAGACAATTTTAGCTCGAACAGGCTCTTCTGGCCATCTTTCTGGAGCTTTCCAAGTTAAATTTATATCGATTTTCACTCATTTTCAGAATGATTTAGAGGGATTTGATAGATTTATATGATATTTTATCGTACAGATGGCAGTATCAGTTTAAAACTTAGATACTAAAGTTAATTTATTAATTAATAATAATAAGAAAGTAATTTGAAAATATATACACTAAACATTCACGCAAACTAATGCTAATGTCCAGCTTGATAAATGTCATTTAAAGGTTGTAGCTTTGGTAAAAACTAGGATCGCTTTTCTGGCGAATTGAGGAGCACGAGTATTTTATTAAAAAAAGTGAATTTACTTTGCGGAAAGTGGTATAAACGAATACACTGAATATAGTGATTTCAGTAATTTATTTGGGTTATTTCGGATGAATGCAATAGTTGCTATTTTAAAATTATTTTGGAATTGTTTCTAATAAGTTTAGCAGATTTGTGATACTTATTGTTATTATAATGCAATTACATATTTAACGTCTCAATTGCAATCAATTTTCAACGGTTTTTATCGATTTATTTTACCGACAATTTTACTACAAACATAGAATGTGCAGCATATCGAGATTATTTGATCAATATTGAATTTTCCCTCATTGCATGCTATTGAGACGTTGTGGTCCCAAAATTGCAAATTTGAAATTATAACTAAAGATCGCACATTAATGCAGTTTGTATAGAGGTTTTATGAAAATATGAGCTTAATACTTGAAAAAAATCTTGTCCTGTTAGTAACTACACATATTTACTGTGCGACTTTCAAGTTGTTCTTCTGGCAATCAATTAATGTTGATTTATGTTATATTATTACAGAATCTAAATATAAAGTGTTCCCAATATTACGTGCCCAAGTAAAGCAACATGAACTTTTAAGTGAGTTAAATCGTATTGGCTCTTAAATAACATCCAATGTGCTAACGACGGTAACTTATTTTAGCAGCTAATATGTAACATAAAACACATGAGATATTTGCTGCATCTGCTGCTATAAATTAGCTGTTTCCTCTCATTGCAGTGGTGGTTTTGACTGAATTTATTATCGGTCGCCTAGTCGAAGATGTGGTGTAAGTAACCAATTATATAATTAAAAAATTGGTAGAGCAAACTGGTAGAAGTTTAATATTTCCAAACATCTAGAAAATAGAGTGCATTCTCTCGCAGGTTTTGTGTAGAATAATTTTGTGTGTAGGATAAAATTGAATTTTTACTATGGTAGATAATAAAGCAGTTTAATAGTTTCTTGCCTTTTCAATATCCTAATTGAAAATGCTTTAGAACATGGGGTTGTAGAGCTGAAATGATTCAATATTAGGGCTACGTATCGAATATTATTTCGTATTTCAGTTATTACTTAATAGAAAATAGCAATCTCTTTTTCAATTATGAAATCAATCCTGGGTTTGTTAATAAACTGTTAATTAAAGAAATCTTATTTGTACTAAGACTGTCGACCATAAGGAATTAAGAACTTAATTATCTTTACTGAAATGCATAGACGCATCTGTAGTTTTAACTTTGAAGTTTAGCTTTGGGAATCGATGTTCTTGATTAAATTGTGAACAAATGCACCTGCAACATAAGACTCACTTTATCGCCAACATAAAGAAGCTAAATGTAAGCAGTAGGGCTCCGCAACTTAAGTTCAGTTAACATTGGGGTTATCTGCTCCAACGTTTCTCATAAAGATATAACGTAATAATAATGTATAAGTATTTAGTTAAATGGCTTTTTACGGATTATTTTTTCACTGGTTATATGTACTTGGTATCTTAAAAAGTTTCCTCTAGTACAAATATACGAGATGCTAATAAAAACTCCCATTGTTTTTGTTAATTAGCCAATGTACTTCTCAAGTGAATAAAAGACAATAATTGTTAATTCTCGTAGTAAAAACCTAAAATTGAAGAAGTTAAGTCTTACGGCATGTAATATAGAAGAACAAATTCAAAACTGGATGAAAAGCAATAAGCTCTAAAATATTATTTACATAAATACAAAGCGTAGATGAAGGATAGTTTAAAAGCTTATTTCCGAATGGCCAATGTGTGGAATAACTAATTCGTAATCAGCAAGTAATGAAAACTTCTTGATGTCCTCTATAAGTTATTAATACTTTTTAATTTATTATTGCAATAAATGCAAAGAAAATTACCTCAAAAATGTAGAAACTCATCCGGAGAAGATAAAATTATGTTTCTTTCAACTTTCACATTTATTTGATGCTTAATTGTTAGGGTGTAAATGATCTACTTAAAGAGTTTCCTAATAGAGAGAGCACTGTTGAGAAAAATATAGGTATTTGTGTTCTAGCTAAACTAAAATTAAGACTGGGGTAAAATAGGAGTGGCAGATAAAGCCATTTATTTCAAGGGACAAGTTTGAACAAGATAAAGGCGGAATCTGTTCAATTCCTTACGATATCAATTTCACCTACCTTACTTTATCCACAATAATTTCAGGTTTACGAGACACTGCTGAATATGTTCACGGCACGACAATATGGAAGGCATAGAATACAAGTTCCAATCACATACACAAACGGGATATCTTACATTTACATTGTTTTATTATCGGAGAATTCCATTATTTTGAGAGGAATATTGAAATATTATATTCGATTATATGTTTATCTATGAAGGAAACATAAAAAAATTAGTAGTTAAAATTTACTAAACGACAAAAATACAATTTGTACTGCTCGATTAATTGTTTGAAATATCACATTATTGCTTAGTTTTCCTGCTGCTTTAAACATGTATTATAAATTATTTTGAACAATAAAATTTTCTTGAATACTGCGTCCATTTCTAGGGAAGCTGCTTTTTCCAATACTGAAATGTAAATGTTTGACTTACTTTTAATTTAAGAAGTTTAAGAACTCCGTTTTCTTCTTGTCGGAGAAACAAATGCTAATAAATTTGAGCTTTAAAGTCGCTGAATGATTTCCAGCAAATTAGTTCTTTTCAGTTTCAAAATACACATTCAATCTGAGAACTGCTTACCCACAAAAAACTGACTAGTTTATTTAAGCATGTTTTATGGTCTCTGACCGAATGAGCTGTAAAAAAGGGCATTAAGTAGCGAAGGGGCCAGATAGGAAACACACAAATAGTCTCGTTAACAGAATTGCTCTATTGATGACCTGAGATTCCTCAGCCGATCTCTTTGGAGATTTCACAAAATACTGATACTCAGCAGAAATAAACCTAAATGTGTCACAATTGGTATTAATTTGTATGAAAATAAATAATAACTTAACTCACCGCTAGTTCTTCTGTTTTAATCAAAAACCGAAAATTGGCTATTTGTGATCGATTACTTAGTATTCACCGATATTTGTTAAACTTTATTTATTAAATGATGTTGCGGTTTATTAGTGACTGTGACGGTAATTGATGAATGATGCCTATTTATGTTGTTCTTTGGGTTTATCCGTCAATAGAAAGTGGTAAAAAATAAAACACTGTTTTTATTGGACCAACGTTTTGGCTACCTATATTTAAGCCATCTGCAGGGCTCAATGAAGTTGGTGCTATATTTGCATAGAGTGCACAGAAGAGGCAAGGTAGGTGTATTTTTAGATCCTTCCTCTAACGCTATGTTGCTCTTTCTGAGCAAATATAACTCTAACTTTATTGAGCCCTGAAGATGCCTGAAATAAAGCCGAAACCTTCGCACAGGAAATATAGTGTTTCATTTTTTGCCACTGTCTATTGACCCTTAAATTCAATAGAAATTGACCAATTATTACGTCTGTATATTATAACAAAATAATAGCATATAAGAATGCCATTTGTTTGAAGAGTTCCAACATCTTGCAACGCATAGAAAAAAACCTATGGTTTACTAACTTTTACTTTCTCATTCTATGTAGATAAACTCTATTAAAATTTTGGGCAAACTCTGATAATTATGCAAAAATTTCCGGTGTAGTCTTTCTGGCATGAAATGGAACTTTTAAATTGTTTTGATGTATCTGGCTGGCTTATTGTATCTTTTCGCCGGTGGCATCGTTTGCATTTTGTCATTCACGCTTTTTGCTGACTGATTTATAGTCTGATTGGTCCCCACTCAGGCGATTTAGCGGAGAACCGAGCATTTTTCGACTTTCGCGGCATTCTTCAAGCTCGTTTAGTAAATGGCCAATTTGTTGCCTCGCTGAACTGTTATATACGATGATTGTGCCACGTCATCTTAAATATAATGTAATTTGTATTATTTATAATTTTGCGAAAGGTGGTTATTATTTGAGAATATATTTTTGTTTTTGGTACCTAGTATATATGTGGACTCTTAAATGCGCTTCGTTAACCTAAGAGTAGCTTGCTTTCTATATGAGGTAGATGAGGTGTGGATTATCAAGAGATACCCGACAGACATTTTTTGCTGCAACGAATGAAAAATTAGCAGCTGAATGAACTTAAGGATCGAATAATTCACTTATTTTATTA